CCAATCAACTCATTTGTCAAGTATCAGTTTGTCTTCATTTGTTTGGTTGTAAACACCATTGATGAATTCGTACTTAATTCGATAATCTGGATCGCATTTCAATCCTGCCACGAAATCTACAAAGATCTAATTCCTGGTTAACCTGCAAACAAAGACGAATCGGAACGTGTGAGATTGCTCTTGTCGAAACTCGAAACCGATGATTACTAATGACATACCGATGTCAATCTTCTAAATAACGCAGAGAAGTTTCATTCAAGGAGATGAATAAAATTAAGGCTGAGTTAATTTGAGAACATCCCTGGCTTTTGTAGAGTAGTAAGCTTGGATGAGCCCATTCGTTTGTTAAGAGGCACCAGGCACTCCTGATGTTCTTGGGTGTTTGTTTGAAGTCCCAACCTGAATCCTCGCGGTTCCGATAATGACAGGGACACAAAAATGTACACATTGCTGACGAGCCCAAAACAGGACGAAACAGATATCCAGTGCTCTTTGTTGGTTATCAAAAACATGTAAACATCCCTGGCCGTGTCAACAACAAGTGTTTGTTGATGATCAAACTCCTAACACAGACGGGAGCCCAATCCAAGTGTGTCAAGTGGCATGTATTATCCGGTATGCAAACAACTCGAACAGTCCAACAAGTATCTTCGAAAAAGAATGGGATTCAGGTATCTTCCGACAGGCGATAAGTCTTATGTGTCCACGTCTGTTTACTCAGAAACACGCTACCGCAATAATCGTGTGCGCTCACTCTNGCTCACTCTGGTTCTATGCAGACATTCTCCCAACAGAGTCCACGGAAACAGCCAGCTCATAGGCGCACCACAACTTTGTTTAGCTTCTTGCACTGCGGTGCTTGGAATTTCGGTCAGACTCTATCCAATGATGCGACATTCATGACATAAATAATTTGGATTCTACCATGCTGAAAGTATACGCTATGCTAAAAATCAGCAGGGTTCGTTCATTAAAGGAGACCACAAATGGTTCTGATCGTACTGTACATTATCAAACAATTTTTGCTAAAAATCAATCTAAAAGCTAATTCGTGTCGTTGCGTATCAACGGAATGCCGACCAGTCTGCTTCTGGATACGACCTGCAATATCATTAGGATTGCCGATTATGCCTGGTGATTGGCCGAAACCTCCAAAAGCAACCTGAAAAGTAATTAGCGAAAAATTCTTCCAGAGTTTGGCACGACATCTAGGAGAACTCAACCGTAATATCTTACTTATAAGTGCAACAAGTTGAGGCACGTTTTACTTCAGTTTGGTGGGATAAGATTGGACTAACCAACAGCAGTTGTTGAACAAGTCATCAAATTACAAAATAGTATATTAATACAGCTTCCATGATAAAAAAACCCTATCTAGTTGGATCACCCTGTCTGTTATTTCGGAATTATTATAGAGAGATACATATACAATAGATACATCTTGGTTGAACTCATGCGACAGGATTCTCAACTGGGAAATCAATTTTAGTTTCTCGTATCATACTTGTTTGTCAAAAGTATTTATCGCGAACTGAATCGTCAACTGCAATATTCGTAATTCTCGAAATGCCTTCGCAAAAGTCAAACTTTTCCCAGGTAAAGCTTAATATTGTATTTCACTCGAGATTGGTCATACAAAACACTTAGGCCTCATATGTGGTGTCCGAATGGGTAAGCTCCAATGTCGAATTACTTCAATAACCGTCCAACTGTTGGGATTTGAATGTAATCGAAAACTTTTCCGTTATTGAAACGGAGATACGTTATTTACCTCGATAGCGGTCATAAGTGATCGGGGTGCACCACGTACAAAAAATCACAAATGCTATTTGACAGTCATTTTGTTGAACTCAATGCAAAGCGATTCCAAATAGGACTCAAAAATACCTAAGGGCAAACACGGTATTCAGGAAATGAAATTACAATATCTGCTAACCGTTTGTTTTAACTAAATTATAATGGTGCTTTTACCTGGGCTTTCTTACCCTACAACCGGTTCACGAGCAACCGTCATCGACATCGAGGAATCGGACTTGTTTAAACTCGAATAATAGAAGCAAACTAATAAATGGATATTATTACAGGTTTGTTGGGTAAAATCATATTTATTCTCGCGAATGCAGTTCAAAACACAGCTTTGGAGGAACAAATTTGACGAAAGTCAAGTTGTTGCAGTAGTTCGATTAATGCCTCTAGGTAGAAACAGTGATAAATAGAATTTTCGGCTCAGGTTACCCGCCAGCACCCCATGGACCGGAATTTATGCAATGAAAAGTATGCTACTCATGAGTAAGATAAAAAAATTATATAACAAGGAACAGTCTTATAAATACCTAAAAAAATATTTATTCAACAATTAATCATTATTAACAAGGATAAAGTTGTTTTACGTGTCCTAAATAAGTATCAATATCGTTAGTAAAAGTCTTTATGGAATAGTTAAACCACATTCTGTACTGGACCTCCTTTAGATGTTCCCAAATGACATCACCAACAGATCCTGTGACATTCTTTAAGCGACGTTTAATCCGACTCCAGAACGCTTCAACGTTGCTTGTGTGAACACCGGTAGCCGGATTCACAAAGCCATAACTATGATTCACACACATATGTATATATCCTAGGGAGCACAATGACCGATAGGCGGCCCACTGATCCGTGTATATGGTAGTTCCTGGCTGAATCCAGCGTTGGATAATCGGTATTAGGGTCTCCTTAGAGCGGTTCTCCACTCTTAGGAAGTACCCCTTACGTAAATTGCGGTCATACATACCGAACATCCACACTGTTGGTATTGGTCGACCGCGTGCATCTTTGCTCTTGAC